CTGCGGGGGGAAGGGAGGCGTCAGGGTGGGGGGGGGAGGACGGTCGCCCCCGTTTCGGGGCGCCCCGGGCCGCCCCCCCCCTACCCGCAGGCTCTGGAGGAGGTCGTTGATGATGCGGGCGGCGTGCTCGCAGCGCTCGGGGGGGCCCATGATGTGGGCGATCTTCTCGGGGCCCGTCCCATCGTCTGGAAAAGGGGGTGCAGGGGGTTAAGGGGCACGGGGTCCCCCCCAAATGTCCCCGGGGGCTGGGGGGGGCGCAGCTCCTCACCTTGTTTGAACTGTATCCGCACCCCTGCGTCATTCTGGATTTTCTTAATCATCTCCCCGCTGCGTCCGATGACGACGCCGACCGAGTGCCGGGGAACCGGCACCTGGAGGGGAGGAGGGATAGGGGGTGAGATGGGGCTGAGGGAGGGGGGCCAAAGAGGGCGTCGGGAGCCCCCAAATTGGCCGCGGCCCTCCCCCGGCACTCACATCGATGCCACCGCCGATGCGTGAACCGTATTCGTTGCGGTCGCCGAAGCCACCCTGGTCGCGCTCGCGCAGGATGTCCATCACCATCTCACAGGCTTGCTGCAAGGCACAGAGCGGGGGGTGTTTTTGGGGCGGGGGGTGGATTTTGGGGGGCGGGGGGATGTTTTTTGGGGAGCAGAGGAGTCTCACCTGGACTTTGTAGGGATCCCCAATTATCCGCAGGGGTTTGTCGACGTTGGTGTTTTGGGAACCGTCTTGGATCAGGATCATCTTCACCCCGGCTCGCTCCTATAGCGGGAGGGTGAGCTGGGGCAACTGGCCCCCCACGCCAAAATACACCCGGTGGGGGGGTGGGTTTTGTTTTTGGGGGGGTGGTCTGGGCTTACCTGGAGCTGCTTGATGGTCTCGCCGCCCTTGCCGATGACGAGGCCGGCTTTCCCGGCGGGGATCATGATCTCCTGCACTGTCCCGTTCTGCCCGTTAGCATTGTCATGGAACTGGCCTGGGGGTCCCCCTCGCCCCCGCGAGACGATGTCGTCCAGCATCAGCTTTGCCTTCCTAGAGGGGGGGGGGGGGGCACAGGTGGGTGTTCGGGGACACACACACGGGCAGTTTGGGGTGGGGGGACACACATGGGGACAATCTCCTACTCACTGCACGGCCTCTGGGGATCCC